GTTTGCTTGAGTACAGAGCTGTGTTGAATTACAGCTCGCTCACCTGTCTGCCAACTGGATACTAGTTTGGAACCTTCCTGTGAAGGTAAGTATTGCATTGATTCTACAGGAATCACTTTTTCTGGTGATACTATTGTCATAATTATGATTGAGATTCCACTCATAATAATTGTAAACATGTCCTTGAAGGGGATAAGTCTTTTTGTTTAGAGAATGAGACAACCCATAAATTCTTACAAGTTTGGCTCTCATGACTAATGGTGGCTCTGTAATAGACTCTTAAATACGAATAAGTCTTCTATCCCACCTCTCTTTACTCAATTTGAGGTGTTAACATCATCTGCTGATAAAGTAGAATGTTTTGCTTATAAATTATTGTTAAATTCTACTCTTGACTTTGTCTGACTCTCCACTTAGAACTGAGTCTCTGTCAAGTGATATGCATATAACTCTTCCCATGGTATCTGCTATCATCTCTAAACTGGATTTCCACAAAGCATGTGGAACTGATGAAAGATATCCCTGCAATACTCCTTAAAAAATATACTCCTGAACAGGCTCCTGATCTCTCTAAACTTTAAAATAAATACCTTTCTTGCTTCTTGCTTTCCAGCTTGTTCAAAATCCAATTTCAAGCAAATCATCCCATATCAGCCTATTAGCTTTCTACCTCTTTTCAGCAAAATACTAGAGACTCCAACTCTGCATTGGTGAAGGGTCTTCTTTCAGATAAGTAATTCTCTAGGTTGCTGATGTATTAATGATTATTGCTGAAAGTGTCTCTCAAGCTTAAGACAAGGAAGGGGAAGCTTTGGATACCTCAAATGATTTGATAGAATTTGGAATGGTGGTATTCTTCAAAAGTTGAAAAGTTATGGTATTTCTGGAGGAATTTTTGAACTGATTCAGTCTTAGAAGGAAGATTTATTCCTCTACTCATCCACAAAAAGTTATGTAAATTAATTACTAACCAGTTTCTTTTCTTTCAATAACATATTCTACAAACAAAAATTCAGTTTACCCATGGGGTCTCCTATCAGTGGTGTTCACACTTGCTTCTTTCTTAAATTCTTACAATCCACCACATTTAAACGTATCAAATCTAACAACGCTACTTACCTAAGATACATTGATGATATCCTCTTATTTTATTCCCAATATACTAAACTTTTAAACATAATAGCTAAACTCAATAAAGTTGAACCAACCATTGAATTCACACATGAATTTAAAACCAATAACTATTTACCTATTGTAGCATACCTATGGATGATAATGACTATGTCCCCATTCACATAAATACTGTACTAAATATTATATGTTGGTCTGCAGTACAAGATTCATTATGGAATTGACTTGACACTTCTAGCAGTTGATTACTTATCCTACATGCTGCTGGCGAAACTTATATATGTTGTTCGTGTCCTAAGTATTATCATTCATTACTAATCTTCGTGTGATTATTCTATTCAGTAACCTTCCCCAGGTTACAACATTACCTTTCCTCAATATCCTATTAATATGTAATGATAATAAATTAGAATTTAAAGTTCACTGTAAACCCACTAATAAAAATAACCTTATCAATTTCTATTCCCACCACAATGGGAGAATAAAATCTGGAATAATTATAGGATTTTACCTTAGAGCCCTTAGGATACGTAGACCTGAATACATTAGTGAAGAAGAAGATTATATTGAGAACACATTCAAACTTCTACACTACACATACCATTCATCCTTAATGCAAAAAAAAACAAGCTCACAAAATCTGTAAGACCAAAGAAACAAATACTCCCAAGAAAAATTATACGAAATTCATAATCCTACCCACCAACACTTGAACTAAGCTTGCAAATGAATTAGTTATACCTAATACGAAGATTGTTACAACCACCACCAAAACTATCAGAAATATAATCAGGATAAAAAATAAAATAAATAACAATTCAAATGCTGGAGGTTATCAAATAAAATGTCTGCAGTGCATTGGGGAGACTTCAGACAATCTAAAGACCTACATCCAGGAACACAAAAGAGATTTGCTTTTAGATAAACATTCAAATTCTCTCATATTATACTGCAACAACATAGGACATAAGTTTAATTACACCAATACCAGCCTTATCAAAAAAGAACGTAACTCTTTTAAGAGAGAATATTATGAAAAATATATTTATAGCAACATTACCAACTATCAACACATGTTTAAAAAACTATATTATGTCACCATTTTTCTACAGATCTATTATTCATGATCTTATCTCTTCTGAAGACATAAATATCAATATATATACAAAATACACACTAGATATACTTTAATGAAAAATCAAACCAAACAAAAATTTTCAAGACATCCTGAAGCATCTCACTAGCTTTTACACATCCAGAATGTTTTCTCATATTTATTTGAATATTATGTTACTTCATTACACGTGTCATGTATCGATACAAATAAGAAATAACCAATCAAGATATCCTACTGCATCTACTAACTTTTACACACTTTATTATTCAAAATGTTTGTCACACATATTTGAATATTATGTGTTACTTCATTACATGTGACACGTATCTAAGCAATAAAAAATAGCCAAACACAACATACCATTAATCTGTTTCTTTGCTTTTTATCATTTTTTATCATTTCTTTCTTGATCTCTGACAAAGCTTTAATAAAGTGAAATGTGTTAGATTAAGATCTGTTTCCTACTTGTTCTTTATTCCATCATTTTTGTTTGTCAGATTCCTATCCATACTCTCTCTCTCTATATATATATATATATATATATATAAAAAGCTGATCCTATCATATATATGTTAAATAAGTCTTTTTAAATTTAATAACATTTAAGAGTATATTTAAGAGCTACTTAATTTGGTGATAGGCAAATGTTGATTATTTATACTTGTGCCTTTGCATAAATATTCGTTGTTTATACTTGACTTTATAAACTTTTACTTGGTTTGAGGTTAGGCAAATATTGGTTATTTACTTTTTACATTGTAGTTGACCTCTTTTGAGGTAGTGTTTTAATCCTCAGCTGGGGACCCTTTCAGTGTATTCTAGGCTCTGCCAACAAGGTAGTTAAAAAAAAAAGAATTAATATATTGTAAAGTTACTGAGTGTTGGGAATACAAAATTTGAACTTGTGAAAAACTTGAAGAATCAGAAGGGAAACTAAAAACATGGGTAAAATAAGAACAAAAAAATGAATTTAAGTTTAATCCTGTCTTAGTAAATCTGATCAGTTTACTAAGGTCAAATTGGCCACTGATCTCAAAATTAACATTACAAAGAAGCATTGAAGTTGGTCAAAGTACATGAAAAATAATTGAATGTAGAGCTACATTGGAGGGACCTGATGGCTGGGCTAGAAATGAGGTCCTTCATGAAAAACTTGGAAAAGAAAACACTGAGAAAATGAATTAATGTTTCAGATAAGTATTGTAAGCAAGAAATTTACAAGTGCCTTCAATTTGATAATAGCACTAATGTAATGCAGAAAATTATTAGTGCTTCAACAAGGTTCAGGTCCCAACCAAGAAGCTTTATGCTAGAATGTATATTCCTGCAAGGCAGGGGACCTTCACATAATACAGCATTAAATTAATGACCGATTACTGACTATTAACTCACTGACCATTTTGTCAAAACTTATCCATCATTAAGAAAGGATATATGAGAATGAAAAACAGGATTCAAAGATCTTTGAAAAACAATAAAATACACTAAAAACATTGAAGACGAAACAGTAAAAATCTTAAAATCCATAGTTGAAAAGTTGATGAAGTTTAGAGAATTTTAAGGAACCCATGTGTTGTAGCATACTTATGGACAATAATGGGAATGCCCCCCCATTCACATAAATATTGTAGTAAATACTGTATGTTGGTCAGCAGTTGGAGAGTCATTGTGCAATTCACTTGACTCACTTCTAGCAGTTGACTACTTCTTCTATGCGCCACTGGTGAATCTTATACATGTTGTTCTTTTACTAAGTATATTCATTACCAACTTTTGTGTGATTATTCTATTCAGTAACCTTTCCTAGGTTACAACACCATGTTAATTTATAATTGACTGATTTTTTTTATGGCTTATCAACCCTTTGGGAGTTTATTTCAAGTTGAAACATATTTTGGATCATAATTTCTTTTCTTTTTGCAATTGAATATGATAAGAATGATTTTTTTTTAGAATAACAATTACCATTTCCATATACAAATTATGCTATTTAAACCATAGCTGGGGGAGTAGATGGATTAATATCTTTCCCAAGGATATTTGCATGTAAGTGAATTTAACGAACCCAACTGGAATTTGGACTTTGCTCTCTTATTTCATATTTCAAGCAATTATCCATTAAATTAACTGCACATCAAACTATTAATGCATGAAATAATAAAATAATTATTAATTCAGGTATATTGGATATTGATTTTGCATTGTTTCCCCTTGCAGCAGATTGTAAACTCATGTGAGTTACTTCTTTCTCCCCTTTTTTTATTTAAAAAAGAATTTCATACATTATGAAAATTTATGTAGGCTTATTCATCCACCATATGACCAGGCTTTTGGGAGATAGATGCTTTTATTACAAACCAAAGCTAAAGAGCTCTTATTTGCCCATGAGGTGAGTACTTGTGATTTTGTGCTAGCAGAACCATCAACAGCTTCCAAACAGTTTTGTCCCCCAAATTTTATTCATATGGTTTGAGTCAACCCATGGATATGATTCTCAGACCTTCTCTTGTGGTGCCACAAACTGAGATCATTTTCCTATTCCAATATTATCAAGGAATCACTGCCTTCACCAAATGAACATGTTTAAATTTGAGTCTAGATCTCATGGCCATAATACAACTGCTCAAACCCCTTGGCCATACACCCACTCACAAAACAGGTATTTGATAAAAAGCAACAGTATGACCAAGAATTGATAAGGGAAAAAATACTTCATCCTTGAGTTCTAAAAATAAACAAAAATGATACTTACCAATATTCATGAAAGTCAAATGTTATATAAGTAATCTTATTAGAATTATAGTCGAGGATGTGGTCAAGGTAAGCATTACCAATCACTCTCTCTTTCCCAATCAATTCAACCAGTGTGATAACAGACACTTGGTCATAGATTTTCAACTGTTCTGCAAAATGTTCTTCAAATGCTTTCTTATTTTCTTGTTGATCTGAAAAGAAAAGAAAATCAGTTAACAGAATTTATCAATTTGTTGTTTTTTTTGATAATTTTTAAATAATCACTGATTTAAGTGGTTTATATATATATATATATGTGTGAGCATCAAACCCAAAAAACATCTACGTACTGATAAATAATATAAACGTACATTTTAGGATAAATGTATTTATTACAAAACCACATAGCCTAGAAACATGTAATTCAAAAGAAATTTAACTGACAATTTCTTGCAACTCTGTTTTTTTAATAATTTTAAAACAATAAGATGATGAAGCAGAGACAGCAGCTACAATCATAAGAGCGATATTTCCAACAGCACTTGCACACCTCCAGCAAACACGCAAACACAACAGAGCCCATTTTATATCCTTCTTCACAGAACTAATTACATTTTTCTTTATTTCCTTAAATGCAACAGAAAATCAACAGAAACAAAAACTTGTAGATAATATGTGGTTGGATAAATCTATAATTTGACTCCAATTTATTTGTTCAATTTTGATCTGAAATTTAATCTCCAATCAACATTAAAAAGTTCCCCCACTGAATTAAGCACACTAACAAGAAAGATTATGTTAATTTTAAATAATTGTCATAATAATAAATGCTTTTTTCACCATTAGGCTTCATACTTACTGATATGTGTGCTATATATATATATATATATAATACTTAAATAAATTATCATATATAAAAGAGAAAGAAACATCTTAAAGAGTCAAAATATGAATAGAAATTAACAACACCTAAAACAAACACCTTGAAAATGGTTAAATAAGTGACTGAAAATAGTTGGGACAATGAACAATTTTTGTACTCCCTTACTCCCACCAAACAGAAAACTATAAGAAAGCTGGAAAAACTAAATAAAAAAATAATTAAATTTTTCTTGTCTATCATATTTAATGAAAGATATTTAAAAGAAAGGTTGCTGGCCATATATATATATATATATATATATATGTATATATATATATGTATGTATAAAAGTGAACAATGAAGTCAAACCTCAGAGGTCACAGGCTGTTTCATCCTAGGTACAATCCTCAGGTCACAAGTGTTGAATTTTTCTCAACTATTTATATATATGGGTCAGTGATGCATTTTGGGTAATCCATTCTGGCGGTTATTTTGGTTGGAGTGGCTTGTTTATTTATTTATTTGTTTATTTGGGTTAATTTATTTTACTTGTTTTTTATTTTCATTTTTTATTTTATATATTTATTTATTCTTTTTGGTTTTCCATGTTTTATTAATGTAGAAAAAAAATTTGGGGAGATTTGTTTAATGTTGCTTATCTAATAGTATGTTTTGGTCTGGGAAGATAAAACTATTTATTCGTCCAATTTTTGGATTGATTGCCGTAGTCTACTCTGCTATTTTGGCAGGGGACAGTTTTTAATTTATTTATTATTTTATTTATTTATTTATTTGGATTGATTATTTTTTATTAGTTCTAACACCTAAATCCAACACTCACATCCTGATGATTGAGTCTAGCATGAAACAGCCTGTTGCCTCTGAGTGTTGACTTCAATGTTCACTTTTATATTTACATATGCTCTATCTTCGATATTGAGCACTTTACCCCATAAATATAGCACACTTTAAAACTATATTTCTGCATATATATATATATATATATGTAACAAATTTATTTTTTGAGATAAATAAATTAAAGGTAGAGTAGCCTGAACCAGAGGTAGTTTTATTCAACAGTGCAAACTGCTACAAAACAAAACTTAAACAAGTCATGTACTTAAATAGCCTTGTCAGATCAAAACTTTCATATGGATGCCATGCATGGTGCCAAACTCGTTCAGAAATATCTAAACTCTCTACTGTATAAGACTGCTTTCTAAGATCAATTCTTAAAAAAGACTTTTGAGTGAGGGAAGCCTGAAAAATGGTACTACAGAATCATAGAACTGTACAAAATAACAGAAACAACATCACTTGATGACTTCCAACAGCAGCAACAACTAAAATGGATATAACATTTTTCTCAAAGAGAAAATAATAGCATAATCAAGATGTTTATATTCCACACTCCAAATAAAATGTTAGAAAAGAAAACCCTATCAATACTGGAAAGCACAATAACAACTACAGGACTTGGAAAAACTATTTTCCTGAAAAGTTTTTAAGAGAAAGATTTTATAAATTTCAAATGAAAGCAGTACTGGCTGCTTGATCAATGAATGCTGAATGCTTACTTGTAGAGAAATGGTTTTATATATATATATATATATATATATAATGCAATGTCTAATATTATCATAACCATTACTATATATATGGTGCAATGGATAAATTGTTGCCATTTTATATTTTTAATTTTGCACATGCACATTGTTTTTGGTTTTTTCAACAGATGATGCCCAATTGCCGCTACTATACTGTACAGTCAACTAAATCGAAAATATCAAGTCTCTTGAGGAGGTATTGCTGCCCTGGGTCAAGAAGTTGTCTGCTGGAAGACCTTATGTCTGGCAACCAGACTCTGCACTATGCCACACAAGCAGGAGAACCCAGTCATGGCTGTGAGACAATTTCTGTCACCATATCACCTCTTATATCTGGCCACAATTCCCCAGACAGAAATTCCCTTAATTATTATATGTGGAATGCAGTTAAGTGAGAGACAAACAAAACTTTTTGTAACACGAAAGATAAACTGAAGGCAAAGATTATGACAGCATCCACTAACTTAAACATGAGGACTGTCCAGAAGAGATGCAGGAGTTTCCAAAGTTGTCTGGAGGCTGTGGTTGAAGCAATGGCAATTATATTGAATAAATTTATTCTTTAGTATTTTAAGATATTTTTGTATAATTTTGGTAAATATATCTGTTAAAATGAGATGTCAGTGTTATTTTCATTTTTGTGCAATTTAGACAACAATTTATCCATCGCACCCTGTACAGAGTATGAACATAAAAGTCAACACAGCTTGGGGACTGACAATTTCATGCCTTAAGCGATCATCAGATCATGTGCTACTCCTCTTTGCATAGGTTCTTTATATATATAGGCCATTAGAGGTAGATAGGCATAAACAAAATGGGTAGGCAAAAGGATCAATGCACCTGAGTTATACTAAAATGGATTGATCGGTATGAACTGACTGGGGCAAGGAACATCTTGAGCAGACAAAGTTAAATATCAGAACATGAAAATGTCAATGCAAATCAACAGGCATGAATGAACCAAGATTATCGGCAGGATATGAGCAGATACAAATAGATGAAAACTGAACAGCAAACATACAATGACCATTATTCATAGAAACTATTTATGGTTAGTGCTCAACAGAACGAAAGGTAGATAATGAAAAATAAGAACCAGTTGAAAGATTTGCCATTGTTTTGCATCCCAGAAAGACAAAATTAGTGAGAGAGTGCTTGATTATTCTGAAAGCCATCTCAGAAGAATCTTTCTTCCATGAATGATAACATAAGTTTGTTCGTGGAAATGAGATGAGAAGAGAGACATGTTAACTCTCTCGGGGTTATTAACAGAAACATAAAACCTGCAGTGTTTATTAAATTAGATTCACTTTATTGGCTTACTGGTCTACATACTTTGTCATTATTTTGCATGGTTTCTTCTGTTCAATGCCATTTTGTGCAAGAGATCTGTGTTTGAGTGATAGAATTATTTGCAGTCACAAGATCTTTTTCTGCATTTCCTAACAAGTCTTTAAACGCATCTGCAAATAGAACAGGCCTTCTTCAAACACCTTGGAAGTACAGCTACTAATGATGTTTCCACAGCTTAATATTGTTTCTTTACTCTTTTATTAGTGATGAAAGTTTCAAAGTTGGCAATGCTTGAATACAATTTGCCAGACAAGTTATGATAAATAATTTACTCAAGTTGTTTAGAGATTCAAAGATCAAATATTTTCATTATAAATCCCAATAAGTTTTTCTGAGCTTTTTCTTGTTTTCATCACAAAATTCTAAGCTCATCTCAAAGTAAATAGCAGGGAATTGGAATAAAGACATAGATTCAAAGAAATCTCAATGAATAGGTTAAGCTCAAGGATGCCTCCCAGCTGTTGGCTTAATGTAACCTTGTATAGCTCGTCACATATTACTTGGAAAGGAAAGTCACGTGGCCAACTAAATCTCAGTGCATTAAACATATACAGGGTGATTAAAAAGTAACTACTCATTTAAAAATATATTTAATAAATAAATTATAAGTAATTTTTACAAGTTAGTACCAAGTGAAAAAAAAAAGGAATAGGTAAATAAAATAAAATGATTAAAGAATGAAATTCAAAGAGATACATACAAGACAGGCAACGATATTCTTTTTCAAAAATAATTGCGATGATTCAATCATGACTTCCTTATGATCAAACTTAAATCACTATGTGGGATAGAGCAGGTCTGAGATTGAAGTGATCTTCATCGATCAGCTGCTGTTTTAGAAGACTTGGACAACCAGGGAGGGTGTTGTATGGTTACAGATATATGTAAAGTGAAAAAAACGATGAAAAGGACATAACCCCGACATTCAACATGTACGCGCAGACATGTGCATGTGTACATGAATCAGAGTCAGTATTAACAATTATATATATATATATATATATATATATATATATATATATAGAGAGAGAGAGAGAGAGAGAGCAAGCTTACGGCTAGAAACTCTGACTGATGCCAAATCAGTCGGGTTTTGATGCCGGTTTAAGCAATCGGATGTCTAGGCTTGTTTCACTGTATCACAGCTCATCAGTGCAGCTAGACATCCATTGCTTCAAGCTGTGATTGAAACCTGACTGACACACACATATATATATATATATATATATATATATATATATATATATATATATATATATAGATATGTATGTATGTATTATAATCTAAGCTCTACTTATGTATCGAGCACTGTTAGGATCATCAGTCTAACAGTTCTTTCCTATTACATCAATACATATACATACATATATATATATATATATATATATATATATATATATATATATATAAATAATGTCATCCACATACAGGCCTGTTTTCGCTGTATCACAGCTCATCAGTGCAGCTAGACATCCAATTGCTTCAAGCTGTGATTGAAACCCGACCAATTTGGTATCAGTCAGAGTTTCTACCCACTTCTTGAGCCAACCAGGAATCATGTCTACTGATTTCACCAGGAACTCTCATGGTATTGAAGACATAAATTCTTGTAGATATTCACCCTTCAAATTCTTCCAAAATCTTGGTTTGGTATAATAGACTTGCTCCTTTAACCAACCCCCAAAGAATTAAACGTCACAGGGTGTTAAGTCAGGACTCCTGACTGGCCAATCATACATAAAATAGGGAGTTACTTTTCAATCACCCTGTATATCTACCTATATATAATAATGAGGAAGTCAAAAATTGAGATTTTTCAGTCATTACTCTATCATAATCTTCTAAGTGAGAAACATTTATATATATATATATATATATATATATATATATATATAATATATAGTCTAAAGAAATATAGTCTTAGGTGTGCTATATTTATGGGATAAAGTGCTCAATATCAGGGATAGAGCGTGTGTAAATATAAAAGTGAACATAGAAGTCAACACTTAGAGGTGACAGTCTGTTTTCATGCTATATGCAATCGTCAGGCCTGACGATTGCATATAACATATATATATATATATATATATATATATATATATATATATATATATTAATTTAATATTATTTTAGTGGATACACTTGTTTGAGAAGAAATTTTATGTCTCCTAAATATACAGGCCATTAGACATAATACTCAGAGTTTAAAAAACAAGATCTCTGCTCAAACATAAATGTACTCTAAAATAATATAGAAATAATGTAGGATTATAAATGAAATCCATTAATTATTATTATTATTATTATTATTATTATCTACCATTAACTAAGTTACCTCTCTTACATTAAAACTTTTAAAATTATGAAATTGTTGTTATGTTCACAAGCATATTCACAATTGTAATAATATAATCACAAAGAATTTCTCTTACAACATAAAATTTTTAAAATCAGCATTTGTGACTTTGTGCTTGACCTGAATTCTTAAAGGTTTAACCACAAAGGCAAAAATTTATTTTGGACAAACACAATTATTTGTCTTCTTTTTTTTTTAAGCATTTCACTCCAGACAAGACAGGAGTACCACTAGCACGCAAGGGGTTACAGAGAGTGAGAGTCAGAGAAAAGAGAGGTGTTTGAGGAAAGGATAAAGAGAAGGACGGTGATCAAGATCAAGGCATCAGAAGATGTCGATTGACATTACATTTAAATTTTTGAAGACATCAACTTCTTGTGGAAGATGACACTCCACATCTGTGAGTCATGAATAAAAATAGTGTCCAAGACAAAAATATTTTTCAGTCATTAGCAGAAATAGTTGGTTCATACAGATAATAAATCATGTTAATGGTGGGAACAAAAAACAATACTAATATTAATCAGTAGCAATACCAAAAAAAAATAAAAAGCTAGGTTTCATATTATGTGCCATATCTCTTCAGAATGTGGGTGAACCATGGTTCACCACAAATTCCTATCCTTTGTAGCTCTTAGTAATTTTTGCCATTTTACCATCTCTTGGGCTAATTGACTGATTGGTTTATTGTTATGAATTATCAACCCTTTAAAGCCAAAACACATTTTGGATTGTAATAATAATTCTTTGTTTTTGCAGACAAATATTGCATTAACTATCATTTTTCCAGATATAGGTTCTACTATTTAATCCATAGCTGGAAGGAAGAGCCCATTCAAATCAGCTCATCAGTTTTCATGTAATGAGTTCAAAATCCTTCCAGTTTATAGTTATTACAATTATTGTTAAAATTTTCTGAGAATAACAATGATTAAACATTTAAAAAAATATTCTCCATCATCTAATGTTTTATTGAATTTTAGCTCTAAATTTACTGTAGTTATTGCTCTTATTTTCTGATAATGTCATGTATGGCTGACTGAATCCAAAAAAATCGGCACACTTATACTCCTTCCAAAAAATTAAAAATTCTTTTAAAAATAATCAGGTCATTGGATTGTAATAACCTTTATGATATATGATTAGTAAGTATAGCCTTATTTAATAACAATACTTCCTAAGAGTTACACCATTGAAAATGAATTTTAAAATATTTAACAACTTTATAAATTATTCTAATTAAAACTGTAAAAAAATGAAAACAAATTTTGTAAAAATCCATTTTTCATCAAATAAAATGTTTTTTCTTAATATAATATTGTCCTTAATATATATTATTCAAAAAAGCAATTAAAAGCTTCTCTAATAATGTCTTAGTTCTATTTAATTTTTTTATTTTACAACTCAGAGGTAATTTTTGGTAAGAGGGTATCTGATTTTATAAAAAAAAATTGATGATTTAAATTCTCCGAAGAGTTCTACTTTTAATTAATATAGTCACTAAAAATTATCACATTGAATTTCTTAAGTTTTCATAAAATTAAGTGGCAAGAAATTGAATAATTAAAATGCTTCTTTATTGAATATGTTGCATTTATTGATGAAAATATGATGGAATTTTAATCCTAAACAATTACATTATTTATCTAAGTTTTTTTTTTTCTCTTGGGACAATTGAAAATCAATTCCATTTGTTTACCAAAGACACTATGATATTTATCTAATGTTTGCTTTCAAATGAACTCTCTTTTGCTGCTTAAGATTTTTCATCTCATGGTCATCACTTACGATGACCTCAACTGTTTGATATGATATTTGTGTAAGTGACATGGGTCGACATAAATAAAGCAGATTGATAAGAGATGGTGTGGCTTTTGTCAACTTGGTTTGACCTCTGTACTGATAATAGGGCATGTGAGTTTTGTTGTAAATAGTAAAATATGTTTATCCATCTAACCAATAGGTTGGCGGGAGTATATTGTTTGGCCCCACACTACCTGTAGTCAGAAGGAAAGTTCTTTGAGTTTCTAAATTAATTGTCACACACATCCCTGTCACCACTACTGAAGCTTATTACTATTACCTGTGCTCACATCCACTATTTGATTTCTATAAACATTAAGCAAGGGTCGCTGAATGTCAAGGGAAGAGTCAATGTTATACCTCTGCTTTAAATACATTTTCATGTCAGATCCTATTGTACCAGACTGCTATAGATCATAAGATAAAAAAAAATATATAAAAATATAGAATATAGACTATTTGCAGGAAAGCTCAACTTCTTCAACTATGCCATCAACATCTGTCTTTGAGAGAATGAGACAACATAATAGAGAAGACATTACTTTTGAAGTAAACATTGTGTGCCAATTAGAAAACAATAAACTTGTCTTGTAGACAAATTTGAAGGTGTTGTAAATTCAATTTTCATGAGTAACCCTTTTGGGTTGTCTTGTGCTATATGAAACACACACACACATACATACATACATATATATACTAAAACACACACACACACACATATATATATATATATATATATATATATATATATATATATATATATATTAATAAATACACATATACCTACACTTATCGTGCAAGAAACTTAAGAAAATCTCAATGCAGTTTAAAAAATAATAAAATAAATAATTTTTTTTTAAAAATGCCAATTGTATTGTAGTGTAACCCAAAATAAAAAAAAAAGACTGTGATAACACATTCACATAAAAAGAAGTCAGTATCAACAGACAGAAATTTCAAACCCCCACCTAACCTTAACCAATTTTCACTTTGCCGCATAAAAATATACTTGTATTTTGATTTGTCAAAAATGCCAACATCCCCTAAATAAAAAAAAAATTTAATACTCATTCCCCACCAATTTAAACTATATAATACTATTTGGCTTATAAATAGAGTAAATCTTTTTTTTTTTTAAGTTATTCAGCATCACTTGAAAATGAAAATGAACTTCAAATTTTAAATTTAGGTTTGGGTTTCAAACATGATAATTTCTGTGTCATGATGAATACATATTTTTTAAAAAATAATTATAATACTATGCTCTACTGTGTATTGAGCACTTTTTTTAAAAATAAATGCTAAAGTACTCTGGATTATAAATCTGACTATTCTTTTTTTTTTTATTTATTTATATATATATATATATATATATATAGTGAATGAATAAGCATGTAACTTGACAGTTATTTGAAAATTTTTTGCATAATGTTTGATCCAGTGATGAATATTCTTCACTGAATTTCATTGGCAAATGACATTTACCTTAAAATATTTTTCTTATAATACTTTTTCCATCATTAGACAAGTAGAAGTAGAAGCTTATGAAGCTTTATTTCACTAATTCAGTTTTAGCAGTGAAAATTTTTTATTTTATTGTGATGGATGGTTACAAAAAAGAGGGGAGATGGGATGTGTTTATTTTATTACCACATACTAAAAGATATATAAATATATATAGTGCATGGATACAGGTATCAACACTAGATGGTGACATTATGGTTCATGCTTAAACACAATAATCAGTGTTGATAATGTCCATACTACTTATATTTATATATATGTCGAAAATGTGCTATATTTATGGAGGAAGAGTGCTTACTATCAAAGATATATATATATAACAGTGTGTGTGTGTGTGTGTGTGTGTGTATGTATGTATATATGTATAAATATATATGTATTAGCATATTATCTCATTGATTCAATGTATGAAGGCTCAAAATTTAAGTTGAGAATTCAATTATTGGATTACCCGTACTACTGATTTAATTAAAGTGGTGAAGAGTTGTGTAGATCTGATAATTGGCTTATAGTGGGTAACATAGTCTCCAAACAGTCCCTTTGGCTTTGAATTAAGAGTTTTTCTTCTCCTAGACTGAGTGCTAGACAAGGCAAGAGAACCCTCTCTACCTTGCTAATTAACTCATAGCTGGTGGAAGAGTCTGGGACAGCAAGCATCTGAAGAAGGTCACTAAGATCAGCATCTATAGAACCATCATACTCACCACCCTGCTGTACGGCTCTGAGTCATGGGTAACCTACCGTCACCACCTACGACTCCCTAAAGACTTCCATCAGCGCTGTCTTTGTATCAGCCTCAACATTCACTGGAGTGACTATGTCGCCAACATTGAGGTCCTCAAACAGGCAGAATTCACCAGCCTTGAAGCCATGTTGCTGAAGTCACAGCTACACTGGGCGGGGTATGTCTCCAGAATGGAGGACCATTACCTGCCCAAGTTAGCCCCGTACAGCATACTCTCTACTGGCCACTATGACAAAGGGGGCACCAAGGAAGCATTATTAGGACTCCCTCAAGAAGTCCCTTGGTACCTGCCACATTGACCATCGCCAGTGGTCGACACTTGCTGCTGACCGTCAAGCCTGGCACCGCACTGTCCACCAGGCTCTCTCCACCTTTGAGGATTCTCGCAAGGCTAACCTGAAGAAGAAACACCATGGGAGGAAGAACCAGGAAGCCTTAGAAGCTATACCAGACCTTTAATTGCAGTCACTGCAGTTGGCCTTGCCTGTTCTGCAGTCAACGTGAACAGCCCAGTTCATAAATCTTTGTTTATGAAGCCAAGCCATGATGAAAGATGAATTCAAGCTTTTCCAAAGGCATTAGCACAAAGTAGATGGAATTGTAGGATTTGAACTCATCTTGCCAATTTTGCTTTCCATACTGATGATATCTACATCTAGACCTAAATAAATGAACATTTTAAATCACTTTATTTCAATTCTAAATCATCTTAAATTCTTGAAATTAGCTTTAAAATTTTTTATTCATGAGGACAGAGGGCTGAAAAGTTCTCAACCTAAATAAGAAATGATTAAAAACAAAACCTGGTCATTTTGGTCAAATTTTTGGAAGTGGGTCAGGTCAAGCCAACAATTTTTCGGCACCACCTCAAATATTCTTATTTATTTCTTTAGTGTGTGCCTATGTGAGTATAATTATTGTAAATGATTTTTAGCTAGAACTCATATCTGTGTTTAGGTAACAGACAAAAAAATTTAAGCAAAAAAAGATTCAAGCAAAAAAAAAAAATGGCACTAAATAAAAGTATCTGAAGAGAAAAGAAAGAAATTATCTGAGAGTTTAGTTCATTTGTTTGGCTTGTTAACCAAACCGAGCATGACAAACGTCATCTTTAGGTCAGTGGACATTTCAGATTATAAGACATTATGAAGCATGACTTAAGAGGAACAAATACAATACAAGACCAATACTACAGAAGGACGCACTTCTCAATTTGATTACACCAAATTGTTGAACAATAAAACAAGAAATATGAATAGGGAGGGTGAGATATTAAAAAACAAAAACAAATGAGAAACAGTACTGAGCCTCAAACGCAAATTGATTTGTTTCTCTTATTTCATTTCTTTTCCATTATTTGGACAATTCATTCTACAATTTTTCCCCTATTCTACTCCAAACAATTTCTGGAACAATATGAGATCTAGAAAATATTCAGCTATTTATTAGGAATGAAAAAATAGCTTATCTGGGACAATGGGAACTTAATTCAGTTTTAAAAACCTCCCTTGAAAAATCACACAATGTGAAACACTCTGCAATATCATATTTCAAGATCACCATTCACTGTTTGGGTTGTGTTCACTAATTTCCGCAGCATTTCAATGGTGATTTTAAAGACCAGAATTTATAAGGATCCAATACTATAGTAGACTAAATAATTGAAGTTATGTGATGTGATATACTGAAAAAAAGCAACTACTAAAACACTGCTTGAGAAATGAAGAATCTATTCTCTTACACACAGGCTTATTCAATGGTATATCATTGCTGAGTAATGCAACAGAAGAGTGTCCATCTTCACATATATAGTAAGATCTTCTGTAATTTTTAATGATTTCACTCCAAGCAAGGCAATAAAGTCACTAAGACACAAGGGGTTACTGAGGATGAGAGAATATGAGAAAAAAATTATTAAAGAGAGAGGATGATAAAAGAACAAGAATTAAGAAGACAAAAGATAACAATTACTGTAGGATTTTAATTTTTGAAGATTAAAGTTGATGGGAGGAAGAAAACAAGAAGCCAGAAGAAAGTTCCACAAGTGAGAAGTGTGAGATAAGCAACTGTTTGCATAGAACTTATGGTTATATATATTTCAAATGTAAAATGATGGCAGCTTGCCAATAATCTAGTAGTGCACTTAAATTCATAAAATCAAGAAACTATAGAGGAAATTTCATTTTGTTTTGGTTTATTTTGTTTTATGGTATACCAACCTTAATGGGTTACTCAATGCTGATAAGATTTTCATTGCTGGTAATATTTTCTTTCAAAAAATGTATTGCTGTTACTATTTTTTCCTTCAAAATGTATTACTGGTAATATATTTTTCTTTTTCAAAAATCTACTGCTGGTAATAATTTTTCCAAAAAAGTATTGCTGGTTTTAAAACCTATTTTTATACTTTTATATTGTTTTGACCCCTCTTGGAGGGTTAACTATTTGCCCATGGTTGGGACCCTGACAGGGGCTACCACCCCAAGTCATGGTAGACCTGGGAACATCAGCAATTAAGAGGTGCTTCCACACTCCTCAAAACTGCCTAATCAAAGACCTTGCTATCAGATGTAGTTTATTGTCTTACCCAGGACACAGATGTAGTTTATTGTCTTATCCAGGAAGGGAGGAAATTTCATCAAAACAATTACCATGAAAATATTTATAGTAAAAAACACAGGGCATCTATGTTATGGTGGTTGGAAAGTGATTAAAGCCAAGATGCCAGGAATAACATTGCATAATTGATTGCCAAACTGCATCAAGGCTGAACAACTGGTTCTCAATGTATTCAAAAACAATTTTTATCCTATCCTTCTTTATTGAATGTCCTCTGAAATGATTTAAAAAATATTTCCCAATGAGACTTGAAGTCACATCATATATCTCAGAAGATAATCTTTGCATTAAGTCTTGCCATTATCCAGTGTGTTGCAAAACTTATCAATTTCTTCCTCCATGCTGTTGGTGCATATACCATTATAATTGATACATTTAACAGTTTTCCTTTCAGTTTAAATAGAAGAATTCTTTCAGATAGTTGACAGTATCCCAGAAAACATATCTTCCTGTAATGGTCTAATGGGAGTTCTACCCCACCTGTATACATGTAATGTTGCATACAAAATCCTCATTATTTGCTCACAGAATCTTAATATTTAATCGATTCATTTCTTGCTTGATATTTTCAAGTTGGTCACATGTTCCTATTACCACTTTTTGTCTGTTGCAAACAGTGGGTGATGGTCTACAGACACCCATCATTCATGTCTCTCCTTACAGAACAAGTAGTTAATTCCAATGGTCTTAACCCACTTTACACCATTACCACTTATATTTATAGTGTATTGCCATGATTTTTCTTGGAATATTTTAAATAATCTATAAGAAGAAATAACTATTTTAAATTAAATAAAATAAAAACTATTTTAAACAAACTAAAAAAAAAGATCTTTTTAAATAACCAAAAATCAATAACTTTCTTAAATAACCTAAAATAAATAACTTTTCTAAATAACCAAAAAGATCTTTTCTAAATAACCTAAAATAAAGAACATTTTTAAATAACCTAATATGGAAAAAAAAAATTTCATTTTTTTATATAATATGTCCACCAGGATTTTTTGATATAAACTTCCTAATGTGAATAAAATCTAATTTTAAATTATGAAAAATACCATCTTTAAAAGACTGATTTGTCATAGAACTAGAAGAGGTCAGTATGTCTTTTTTGCAAAACCCATTACTACATTAATGAGTTCAGATTTGAAGGCAAAGCAAAAGCAAAGTAAAAGAGCAAGTAACAGTTAATGTGTTTGAGTGAATGGATGAGAGAACAACAACAATAGAGGGGAATGATAAAAGGGCAAATGTTACTTAGAGCAACAAAAGACAGGAAGTTATGGAAAGCCATGATCATCCATGGATGAAAAATGATATAAAAGAAAACTCATCAGGTGACTAATACATATATAGCATATTTAATGGCACATACAAGCAACTACTTTCTCCTCCCAAAAATGGTTCAGAAATATTTCCTGGGTCTTATATACCAATTTGAGATATCTGATAAGCTAATGTCTACGAAAGCATGGAAGATTAGCATTGGACCCTCCTTGCCTACCACCATAATACCGTAATATTAACTCTAAATTAGGGGGCAATATATCATCAAATATAATTTAAAATATATCATTATTATTATATATTACATTACATATACACTATTTACATTATTTGGACTATTGTTCTCATCTTTGTCACCATATTTATTACAACGTTTCGGCCGTTGTACGCTCCAGCCTTCTTCAGGTGGTTGGAATGTCAAACTGAACTCTTTATTTTGTTCACTGTGGTAGACTGTTCTAGTTCCACGTGCCATGTTTAATGGATATCAGTTATCAGTTATCTCCTGTTAATTCCCTCTCCAAGTTCTCTACTGCCTTAACCGGGTATTGAACTCACACACTTTGGGTCCTGTCACTGGATCTAACTAACACCTTTATCCACTGTGCTGTGTGTTCTTGAACAGTCTACCACAGTGAGCGAAATAAAGGATTCAGTTTGACATTCCAACCACCTGAAGAAGGCAGGAGCGTACAACGGCCAAAATGTTGTAATAAATATGGTGACAAAGATGAGAACAATAGTCCGAATAATCTAAATAGTGTACATAATACCTCATCTCAGAAATATAGACAGATACTGAAAGGCTGAAACATTGTAATAAATATGGCAACAAAGATAAGGACAATAGTCCGAATAATGTAAATAGTGTACATAATACCTCATCTCAGAAATATAGACAGATACATTATATATTTATGCTATTTATATTAGGATTATTGTCCTTATCACAATGTTTTAAACATTGTGCCCTTTGGCCTTCCTCAGGTGAGCAATCTACAGGAAATTCTGAGCTATGGGGGTAAACTGTTCTCATTCCACTGCTCATGTCAAATATGACTTACACTATTATTATCATTATATCTTACATTATATACTTACATTATTTATATTCAAACTATTGTGCTTATCACAAAATTTTGCCTGTTATACTCAGTTATATCTTAATCTGGGTAACCTTCTGAACTGAACCCTTTATTTAATCTATGGGTAGGCTGTTTTTGTTCCACTCTTCATATCTTGGCAGATAGTCTACTTCTTATTTTTATTTAATACTGTTCAGTCATTGCTTTCCGGTTTCCACAGAGTGCAAATACACATTGTCCAATCCAGGGATTGAACTCTAAACTCCAATATTCTGAAGTAAACTTAGGCACTTAAACCTAACCTTGACTGTTGATTATGCTGCTGTTGCACTTGAAGTCTTGCTCAATAAATAAATAGTGTAAATAATAACTCCTCATCCCAGAAATTCAGACAGAAATTATGGATTTACAGTTGTCTGCAAAAGTATTTGACTCCTGAGATATAATTCTTTATTTTTTAGATTCATCATTCTAAATTTGACAGCATAATTTATTCAACAGCTTAAGAATAAAACAGATAAAGAATGAACTGAGAATAAATAAAAGAATTAATATTAGTATTTTATAACCATAATTATGAGGACCATAATTCCCCATTTAAAATATGCAATTTTTTCTAAAAACCAACAAGCAAAATTAGGGATGTGTATTATGCACAGCTAAAAAACAATCTTTAAAAAATTTCCATTTCATAGGTCGATTTCAGTTGCAAAATGACTACTCACCACAAACATGTGACAATTTGATACCAACATTCGGTGACTACAACACCATAAGGAAGTCAAATAGAATCATATGTACCTAACAGTACTTACAAATGTAAAATAAAATAAGAATTATCATAAAACTAAATTAGAATAATATTATTCTATGTTTAAAACCATTTTTGTCAAAAACTACATACAGATCTGGTAGATTGCACATTTTATCAAACAAAAACAGGTTGAGTCTGCGCAGTAGACACAATATAGGTATTTCCATTTTCTTTTAGAATCATGATGATCAGAAATTTTGATAAATATCTTCAATTACAGCTTGAATAAGAGTAGGAAATGCTAGCCATAATGAAATTGAAGAGGTCCAATTTATAGGGTCTGATTACCAAAGGTGTGTGTATTACACAT